CCCCAAAACCCCAAAACCCCAAAACCCCAAAACCCCAAATTCGGGTCATTTATTTGAAATGAACAAAGTATAATATTTTAGATTCTTTTCTATTAACATGGCTAGGTTTAGACCAACGAATGTATTTGCAGAGTATAAAAAGTTATTGACGATTTTGGCATTACTATGGTAAAGTCTTGCTCAAACCCATGCTTCTCTCATAATTATTGCGAAAATTTGCATACCTTCACTGAGTTTTTTAATATTCTGGTAATTTCTCCAGAACAATCAATAACTTCTATTCTAGACTGTACATAGGATGCGGAAAATGCGAGTACGACGAGAAACTATCGATAGATTTACTATATGTCTCTGCTCTAAGCAACTGTGAGCCAGAGAAACTTATGGCCAAGGATTGTAAAGCTGCAACAGCTTCAGTTGAAAAGAGAGGATTTGTCCCCTTCTTCGCATCTGAGAATTTTAACACTGGATATCCTATGTACATGAGCTTATTTAGAAGAGACTCACAGAAGGAAATCATTGTCAGTTTCTCAGGAACCAGAAATCCTAAGCAACTCATTGATGAATTTGTAAAGAATGTGCCGACTGATTACGATATCCACCCAGGCAAGAAGGTTAAGGTGCTTAAATATTTTTACGAGGATTATAAAAATCAGTTTCGAAACGATCTGGTACAACAACTCATGAGCATTTTTGAAGATGCAAAGTTTGATGATTACAAAGTTATATTTACCGGACATTCTCTTGGAGGTGCTATGGCTATACATGCTGCTGCAGATCTTGTTCTTAGCGATTTCCTCATAAATCGTGCAGCCATTGTATATACATTCGGGCAGCCTCGGGTTGGAAATGCTGAATTTTATGAGCAGTTTATTGGAAAACTCAATGCTTTTTATAGAGTAGTACACGACAAAGATATTGTTCCTCACTTACCTCCTTGTGTCCCTAACTTGCATCATGGATGTGCTAAAGAGGGATTTTTGATACCAATTTTCCCTTACCATGCTCCTACTGAAATATATTATGACAAAGAGATGATGAGTTATAAACAATGCAGTAATACTGAAGGAGAAGACAAAGACTGATCTGATTCATTATCAAAGCCAAGCTTTGGTGAGCATCTAACTTACTTTGGAGTGAGAGTTGGGGAGTATCATAAGCAAGAATCTGAACAAGTAAATGAAAACTCGATAAATAAATTGCTGAAGAGCCAATAGTAATTCTGAAAGATCTTTTAAATAATTCCGGAAATTTTAGGGGTTTTGGGGTTTTGGGGCTTTGGGG